CAACTTGTGATGTGGCTTCAGAGCTGGAGCAGGTTTTCTCTTTGAGTACTTGGCATAGCGACTCTTGCGTAACACTCGTAGAACCGTAGATGCACTTGGATGGCTTGGTAGCGTTCTGCAATCCTCTTTGCAGAGAGGCTTCGAGTTACAGCGAGTCGAAAAATCTGTCTGGCGTGTTTTGTGTTAATATTCGATCGTCTGCAGACTTTCTTGGACCCCTGAGAGCCTGTGGACTTCTTGAAAGAGTTCCTTATGGCCCCCTCAGTGCGTTTAAGGCTTCTAGCTATCTTGCGGTTGCTTAGTTTCTCTCCTTGTAGACTTTGATGCGCTCACACTCGGTCGCGGTCAAAAGCTTCCCTCGCGGCATCAGTTATTGGTCAGGAGACAGCTGGTGTTAACCAGTAAATGTTGTTTTTCGCGCTCTTTCAGAAATTTACAAAAATAACTCCTCCATCTTTTCTTATTTAAAATTTTACATTGTGCGCATAGAGTTTTGACGGGACCTCTTAACATTATATTTTCGACTGCGAAAAAAAAAAAATGCTGCTTGTCCATTCAGACTTTCTGGGTTGTTTTACCGTTGTTAATCACATAGTTTAGCGTTTAGCTTGGTACTAGCAGAGAAATCGACAATTTTCGAGTGCGTATATAGTTTCGACGCGCACGGTACCTACCAATGGGTAACACTTTATTCCGCCCGAACTATCCAAACTAAGGCGAAACTGCTTCCATCCATACCAGAGGTCAGAGACTCTTATTCTTGATATAGGCAGCATAACCCTGAGCGAGTTCCTTGTAAATCCTTACGAGTTCTCTGTTCTCATCCTGGTTCAAACCACTGGCCACCGTTTTCGCCGAGTATCCACTCTTGTACCATTCTTCATACAGCTTATTCGCTCTGCTTCGGTTTGTCAGCGATTTCTCGAGTTTGTCCTCAATAAACACTCCTCGTTTGTTCGGGTCGTAGTAGTAGTCCATTTTACTTGTGTCACCAGTACGGAGGAATCGTTTCCGTCTGGTGCCTGTCTGGAAAGTCTTTATCAAGTGAAGTTTAACCTCGTTGGTCTTTACGTATTTGGAGTCGCCTGTGACGCTAGTTGCCGAGACAGCACCATTGCTTGCGCCAAGAGTTGCCATCACAATCATCAGAAAGTAGTGAAGGCGCATGATAGTTTTGAATACTCTGTGGCGAAGCCAGGAAGAGTTAAGAGTTGCCACTACTGTGTAGAATGGTGAGTGAAGTCCGTGTCAACGTCTTCCTATCCAAATCACAATCACCAACAACGGTAGACATGCTTGAAGTCAAGCTGTTCCGAAAAACGTGAGGATAGGAAGCTCCCACTGCGCCACAGAACCTCCGCTTCTATCGCGATTCACGAGCGAGCGCAAGCACATCTCGTGCTAAGTTACAAGCACGATAAGTTGCTACCGATTTGGGCTGCTGTACATGTGCCTACGCTCATAATCCGGATACTTTACTAAAAAAAAAAAAATACTAATACGACAAGTACAGGAAGCATGCTATAGGTCGAAGTGCATGTACAGCATCAACATGCCACAAGAGGACAACACCGTTCAAGTCGGCGACACGATGCCAGGGCTTTGTAGAGCTTTCAAGGGGGCGTAAACTATCGAACGACGCAGTGACAGCAAGACGCAATCTGCTGCATACAGTACATAATAGTTCGAGATCTGAACCCGCAATTATACGTTCGCTAGTCTAGGCAGCAATTTTAGTACAAGAAGGCTCGCAAGGTTTCGACTTCGACCTTCCTGCGTCTGTGCTGTCCGATTTCGCTTTGAGTTTCGCCCAGATCGTCACTGTCGCCTTCACAAACAGCCGCATCCAGTGCTGCTACGGCCGACAAATAGTGTGTACGCATCCGCAGGTAGTGCACACGAGCGGCTCGTCCTGCCGCCACTCGACTCACTCGGTCCAGCGTCAACAATTGTTCAATAGCCTCTTCAATCTCACTGGATGTAGCGTGCACCGAAGGAAGCTTCACTAGCGCGGTGCTATCAGCTAATTCTCGCTCCGGTACCTCCTTCTTTACCGTCTCTGGATCCTCCTCTGTCGCGCCTGTATCCGCAGGTCCATCGTAGTCAAAGGAACCCACGCGTAGACCGCAGCTATCCGGCACCCATTCCTGCATGATTGGAGTATTGTACGTCACTGTAACCGCGCCAACTGCTAAGCTCTCGAGCACCATTTCTTCATACTTTTCCAGCTCAGGCGGGACAGGGAACAGGTGCATACCAATGCTGTTCTTCAGCCTTACAAGCTCCTGAGGCGAGTTGGCGTCTTCTTCGCACACCAAGTCCACATTGAGTTGACGTTTCGCTGGTTTCTTTGCTTGTTTCTTGGGACTGTCCAGGCCTTCCAACCAATCTTCAGCCGCTCGGTTCGGGTCCTCCGCTTCTGCTGCCTCTGCAGCTTCAGCGTCTGCTTGGTAGTCCTTGAGCATACTGCTTAGAATACGCTGGAACGATCCACACAACACCAAGGACCGCTCGAAGCGAACATGTAGCATAGGCCAATCCGGATGGGCCACCCACGCAGCCAGTAATTCCTCCGTAAACTGCTGCTTCTTGTCAGCGTCGCCTACCACTACAACATGCAGAAATTCGTCCCATTTCTTCCGGATATGTCGATTGTACACATCCGGCACAGTAGTTTTCAGCAAGTATACGCCAAAATGACTCGCCGCGAGGTAAGAAGTGCCCAAATCAATCGATGAAGGTTGTCCCAAAGCATTCACTCCTGCTCTTCCTCGGTGGTCGCGTTCTTCCTGTCGTTCCTGTCGGAATTTGAGCATTTGTCTCAATGCGAACTCCGTTTTGACCAGTACTAAATCTGGAAATCTAGGAGCAAATAACGCTAGACGCATCGCACTTAACGGAAACATGGCTGCAAACACTCCCGTAAGCTGCGAATCAGTGCCTCTATCAAGTGGACTAGCCCCCACAGCCACGTGAACTCGACTGGCGATCTTTGAGTGAGTATTAGCAGCCACCACTTGACTTCTAGGCCACAAGAATGCCAGCTCTGTAGCTTGAGCCATAGCACTGTCACTGCCCATAGGAATGACCGCTAAACATGTCCAGGGCAGTCTCGCCTGGCCAGGTTGGCGTGCTCCAGGACTGTATTGTTGCTCGAAGCGACGTTCCAGGAATCTTAACGCTGCTGCTCGAGGCTGCATGTGCGTACTGGGAACTGCACTGGGCTGCATCAAATCGGCCGAAGCGAGTAGTCTCTCTCTGAATACACACTCGTGGACTCGTAGATCGAACGAAACAGTCTGGAATTTCCAGTAAATGATGATCTGTAGCAGCACGAGGCTGATAGAGGCGTATGTGAGCCATTGGGTAGGGTATACCCAGTATTTAACTGGCGCTGTGGGGTCTCCCTTCCACTTTTTAACCCAATCTTTTGGTCCTTTTAACACCCACGAGGTCTTTTGTCTCCATTCGTCCACCTTGGAAGCCGCAACTGGGAATTTAGCGGCCCAAGCAACATACAGCAACTGAAGCCAGGTCGATAGTTGTCTCCACAGATTTTGCAGCAACTTAACCACTCGTTGAGTTCGTCCAGAGCTATTATTAGATCGTAGTAAATCTTGGTCTTCCGATGGTTTAGCTCCGTTTTGCTTGGCTGGAGCCACTTTGCCTTGTTTTAGAGGCGAATTAGCTGTGTAACTCTCGCCGTCGCTGAGAGAAGCTGATGCTGACGCCGCAGACGCCAAGTCGCTCTCGTTGAGTGTGATGCTCTCGGCAGTCGATCCCTCGCTCTCCATGCCCTCGAAGAAGCTGCGCCGACGCAAGCGAGATGTCGGCGGCGGGTCCATCTCGCTCATCATGGTGGCTTTCGTTGGGGAGTGAAACCATTTCGATACACAAGTTGTACGTTAATTTGATGTAGCCCACATCTGGTATTCCCCAATGGGGGGCCTCTTGAACATAAATGGCTACGCCTTTAAAACAAGATTATTATTATTATCAAAGGCTTTGATAATAATAATCTTGTTTTGAAACCAGCCTTGACTCAAAGAGGTGTTCTATTTCTTTTTTAAATATTTAAATATATATTAAGTTAGAGCGCGCATTATACATCACAGTTATGTAATTGAGCTTATACTGTATGCAGGAAGGTAGCAGTACGGCTTTCAAATCAGCGATTATAAAACTTTTAAAACTTTTGCACGGTCAACATCTGAAAACGTTTAGCAAGCTAAACATCACTCGTGCGGCGAAGTGGGCCACACAGGAGTAAGTTGTACTAATACATGTAGTAGGCATCTGATGAGTTGATATTGTCTTAGTCGTTGGAATTAAGAGACAGCAATGCACCTTATCACCGATTATAACTGCCAATTCTTATGTATGTAGTCATGAGCACTCCATCTCTCTCTCCGACCCTTCATAACCAGAAATCAACACCACGACGACTGGGTACCAATAGCATAAAGTAGCGACCCTAAGGACAGTGTCAGAGCAATGATCGAAAGCGCCCGTGAAATCAATCGTGACCCCAATGACAACAGGAAGCCGATGTATAACGAAATACTCGGTCTAAAACTAAAAAAACATCAATGGGAACACAATGGAAAGATGGTAGAATTTCGTTTCAATGCAGATATGGACAGAGGAGCCTCTTTGGAGAGATATCCCAAATAGTGATACTCTCTAGTTAAGAAGGTGGGAGAGATCTCCCGGGGATTGTCTGTAATTTGATAAAAATGGATCAAAAAACTATGGATACAAGTGTCCAATGATTGCGTGACGGTCCATTCTATAATCTCAAACTGCCGAACGACATCTTGTTGTTTGTATGGATGGCTTCAAGTAGAAACCGCTGTGATTGTCCCAATCATGTGATGACCAAGCCTCAGCTCAATCACAATCATTATGCGGAGGATTGATCATCACATGGCCCATGACGCTCAATCCTCGTAATACTCTACATTTCGAAACCTCAGCCACACTTCAGTTCTCGAGCTTGCAGTGACACACCCACCGTCCAGCAACCTAGTCATGCCATCTTCAAGACGTCGTCGCAAGGCAGCCCGATGCAGTTACCCTGACTGCAAGAAGCAAGTACAGACGCGCAGATTATGTAAAGCTCATGGAGGAGGCATTCGGTGTCGTGGATCAGGCTGCACGAAGCTAGCTCAAAGTCGCGGTCTGTGCGTCGCACACGGTGGGGGTCGACGGTGTGCCTTCGACGGATGCGATAAACTAGCGCAGTACAAGGGGTTGTGTCTATCGCATGGAGGCGGTCGACGCTGCTGCGTGGAGGGGTGTGAGAAGTTTGTGCAGCTGAGAGGTTGCTGCAAAGCGCATTTAAAGCAACTGGAGTCGCCTAAAGCGACGACATATCGGTTGGTACACTATGCTTCTTCACAGTCTCTTTATCCAGTTCAGGCGACTACGCTATCTAAGCTCGACATTGAATTTTTGATGAATCCGTCGATCAGGTCGTCAGAAGCATTTCCAACGACGTCCGGGCTGGAGTACACATACTCAGCTGACCTCAATGGACCGATATTCTCAATCCCATAACATTAAATTGCTTATACTTAGCGTTAAACCTGTTGTATATCCGTGCCATAACTTTACCAGGATCAATAGATCGTATTCGAATTGTAGGCCCCGTTCGAGCATGATGGTTTGCATTAGAGGTTCAAAAGTGTTATTTTTACAAATACTGCTTTTTTTTTCATTACTTCCTCCTAAAATACTTTTTCAGTCGTTCTGGGTTAACGCATCGTTATACTCATATTCGTTGCTCTTTTAATCCTCCTGTAACTTCATATAGCCGCATGATGGCTCCAAATGTGGGGCTTTGGTGAAACCAGACAGTTTTGATGAAGGTTTGAATGACAAGCTGAGGAGTACATGTAATATAACGCTTTTTGAAACACTGTGATACGTTACGTAGCCTCTTCTGCCACAATTCCAGTTTCCAACTTAATGCGCTAGCGCTCCTTCTACCTCCTTGAGAGTCATTACCAGTAGGCCGATGTCTTGGAAGCTGCCATTTTGCTCCAAATGATAGATAACGGATTCCTCCGAATAAAGGACTTCTTCTATTAAATAGTGTTCCCTCACCAGGTCGACAACAAATTGTGAACGAAATAAAGGGCTTTTGATCACTTTTGATCAAAGGCAAGGGCAACAAAGGTGCTTTCATTAGTCCCATTGGGTAAACTCATATCCTGATATCGAAAATGTTGAAAAATTTTTTTTTTGGTACACCGTACCCATCACGCTACCATGGCAGCTTCTCAACTAGCTCGTACAGTCGCATTGTGCAATATGGTAGTTGAAAACTGGACTGTATTAGAGAACCTGGCATTTTGAGCTGATGCCATCGTATTCCGGTAATGTACGCTGGCTACAACTTCTTTTACCCAGGCGATCTATTGTGAAGTACTAGAAGTGCGGAGAAATGATATTGGTAGGGTACTCTATCCGGGTGGGGTGCTTTATTCGGAATCCGTTATTTGAGTTCTGACCAAGTCAGTAACACAACATCTAATAAATAAACTAGATCGACTTCGACTTATCTGGGAATACATATTTTTATTCACGTAACCTCTTTTTTTACTGTTTGACGAGTGTTGTCCAGCGGCTACTGGTGGCGAGCTGGTAAACTTTAAAATACAGATAACGACGATGAAAGATGCCAGTAAAAAAAACTCGCTTGTCCATAAGACCAGCAGTTTGCATGTAAAGGTCCAAGATAAATGAGTCAGGATGCCCTCCACAATAGTAACAATGAGCGAGAGCGAGTTGCGGCTCAGCTGTATGCCACCAGTATGATATCTTTTTGGAGATAACTCTTTGCAACAGGACTGGCTTCGAGAATGAATTGTAGCGTTCATCATTTCTTTGGGATTCAATATTTGCTTCACTGGGTTCGATGACCTCTTGCGCAATTAATACAATCTGTAAAAACGCAAACTTGCCCTAAAACTATAAAAAAAAATAATAATTAAGAGCAGGTATTATATCACTTGAAAACCAAACATATCTGCTGAACCAGCAGATATGTTTTTCTTCATTTACTCGTTTTGAGACTCTCGATACTTCCACATATCAACCACCTTCTGGTCTAGTTTGTACTGCTTCGGCACGGCTGGCTTGATGGGTAGCTCGCCATCAACTGAACGAACAAATATTAAGCAAAGCGACAGAGCAGTTGTAACGAGTAACGTTTCGATCGGATACCTTATTTCTTCTGTTTGCGAGACGCTCATGTTTTCCGCTTACCGTTGTTCGGCAGGTGATAGTTCGTCTCGAAGCGAGCCGGCACCTCCACGTTTAGGCATCGACGTGCAAAAAGAGCTGTGAGAGTTCGCGTCCAGCATGTTATTCGATGAGATTAAGTCCGAGTAATTGTAGATGAACTGCGAGTAAATCAATATGTACTAAACGTTAAAAAAGACTGCTCATTCAGGAACTCCTGTGCAGCACAGGAATTCCTGAATGAGCATCACTACCGAATTTTGATATAGGGTAGCCCCCTCATTTTGCAGCTTTTGGTAAGCCCCCCACTTCCGGTTTTCTATAATAAGTGATGGGCGGTTTTGTTTGGTGCTGCCGCTTTAGGATAGCCCCCATGCTGGACTTTTGACCAATCCAAATTTTGTTTTTTAGTGGCTCACAAGCAAAAAGCATGCCAAGGGGGGTCGACGTCGTCGGGTGTGATCTAGCGGAAGGAGGACGAAGTTGTGTAGCGCATGAAGCATGCGGAAAACATGTGAAGGTGGGGGACGTGCTGCTGTTCCGCGAGGAGGTCGATGACCAAGGCGACAACAGGCTAGGATACTGCCTGAAGGCATACTTGATTCGTGACGGCTCACAGACCTGCCACGTCGGTTACCTGCCGCGCAGACTGCTTATCCAGCGTGCCGCATTTAACAGACAATTTGCTACTGTTGTTGAGGATCTAAGACACTCGGAGAACTCTCAAAAGCGCCGCCGGTCGGAGCGCAGTGGTGGTATTGTTAAATGCATAATGCTGAGTGAAATTGAGGAACAGTTTAGATCGTAATGCTATCTTGAATCTCGATTGATAACGCTTTACTGATGACATGTCGAGTTGAAACAGCAATATCAAGACCTCGGCGATGCAGAATCCAAACTGTAACCTCATCTTCAAGAGCTGGTGCGTGCAAGGGTCGACCGACCGAAATCGCTCGGGCTCGTGGGTTCCGCTTCACTGTCTCCTCTAAACGCTCTCTATTCTTGCGCCACTGCCGAATCTGAGATGGGTACACCTTGTGCATGCGAGCCGTGCCCTTGACTGTTCCTCTCTCGGCTTCTAGCAGAATTCTGAGCTTGTCCTTCACGGTTAAGCGGGTATCACGCCTTGGCATGCTTCTGAACTGGCTATTCTGCTAATGACAAAAGGAATGGAGCTCGTCTGTGTGTATCAGCCAATCAAATTGTACTCGGGCAAATTGAAGTGCCCTGTTAGGTAAGCCCCCTTTTGTAAAGTCAAAGAGGGGGCTACCCTTTACCAAAATTCGGTAG